GACGAAAATAAAGAATAACAATTTCTTGGCTGAGGCTTCGTTAAAAAGTTATTAAAAAATTAAATTACAAAATTTCAAATCGTTCTGGAAAAATAATTTTTAGTTGCATAGGTCCATTACAATCATTTTTGGTCAATAGATATACCCTCGAAATCCTACACACTTTCGAGAAAAAAATTCGAGTAGGTGCCTAAATTTTTCGACGAGAAAAAAGAATTTCAAATCGTTCTGAATAAATTATTTTCAGTTGTGGTGGTAAATTACAATCATTTTTGGTGAATAGACATATCTCCGAAATCCTAACCATTTTCGAGAAAAAAATTCATTACTGAAAATATAATTTCAGACCATAACTGTCTGTTACCCTGAAAATTGAAAACTTTCAAATCATTCTGGAAAAATTATTTTCGATTGCAGGGAGTAATTACCATAATTTTTGGTCAATAGATATACCCCCGAAATCCTACGCACTTTTGAAAAAAAAATTCCTTACCGAAATTCAAATGTCTGACCATATATGACATTTTTCCCTGAAATTTCAGGCAAATCTTTGAAACATCATAACTTCTGAACGGATTGGACGATTTTAATGTTTCAAAAAGTAAACAACGCGTATTTTAGTGAAGAATATGTAGAAATTCCAAAAATATTCAAAAAATTATTCCTTGACCCCGTGAAATGAAAAAAACCCTATAAAAGTGGTGCAATTTTCAAACAGCCGTAACTCCTAGAATAGCAAATATATTTCAGTGAAACTTTTTTCTGAAGTCAAGCTCATAGGTGCCTATAAAAAAGTATTAGTCAACTTTTCTGTAGGGCGCCATACAAAATTACTAAAAATGAAAAACTAATTACTAAGAAAAATCGACAGGTGCTGCAACTTTTTGACGAAATTGAAAAGTTTCAAATCATTCTGGAAAAATTATTTTCAGTTGCAGGGGTCAATTTTAATAATTTTCGATGAACAGACATACCCCCGAATTTCTAGGCACTTCCAAGAAAAAAATTTGAGTAGTTGTGAAATTTTTCGACAAAATTAAAAGATTTCAAATCATTCTGAAAAAATTATTTTTGGTTGCGGTGGTCAATTACAATAATTTTTGGTCAATAGACATACCCCCGAAATCCTACGCACTTTCGAGAACAAAATTCAGGAAGGTGAACTTCTTTGACAAAATTGAAAAATTTCAAATCGCTCTAAAAAAATTATTTTTAGTTACAGGGGTCGATTATAATCATTTTTGGTGAATACACGTACCCCCGAAATCCTACGCACTTTCGAGAAAAAAATTCTTTATCGAAAATATAATGTGTGGCCAGAAATGTTTCTGTAATTTAATTTTCTGTCTCGTTTCCTCTTGTGTTCATTTTTGTAACCTGTTGGTAATGTTGCGAGTGGAACGAAAAATGGTAATGGGAAGTAAAAGTCCCGAAAAATGGGGCGAAAAAATACATTGGATGTAAGGTCTCGTATACTTCGTCTGTGATTATATTTTTCGTTTTTATGACTTCACATGTAGGTACAATTGCCTTGTCAGTCTCGAGTAAGCCGGATAATCGGAATTTTACTGTATAATGAAAGTACGAGTGTTAGAGTTTGGAACTGGACGAGTACTTTAAAAGATCGTTTGTAAGTTATTATATAGGACGTCCATAAAGGTTGGGACCAAGCTTATACTACGTTTTACTGAAATCAAATGTTCAAAGGTTTAGTGGCAAAATTCATTTTACAATTCGTTCTACAGAATCGTGTATTATAAATTCTCAATAATATTATTGTTTGCATTTTCTCGTGTTGTCAAGACCTCTACTATCAGTCCTTCCAATGTCTAATAGACACTTCATCCTACAATATACTCTTTTGACCAATAACAGAAGATCAGGAACATAAATTTACATTTTATCTAAAGGCAAATAGATAAAATATAAACATAAGTTTAATAACACGTGGTATAACATTGGTCCCAACCTCTTTGGACATCCTGTATAATCGTCAATCTGGTATGTATCCATTGGATAAATATACAAAAATTATCCCACAATTTGGTTTTTTAAACAAGTAAATAATTTTTGACGAGACGTTACTGTTTCAAAGTATGGTCTTACTGGCGATTCCATCAGCGTAAAATAATTTATTTCTTCTAAGTTAAAATAAAATGTATACGATGGAAGATTCAGTGTGTGTAGGCTCCCGCTATGTTCGTGGAGCCGTTTATTTAGTAAATAGAAGTTTAATACTATTTACAAACACCTGAATTTATTTACAAATAGGTACATATGTTACCAGTGTAATTCCAATGTTCTTAGTTCGATTCTTATGGAGTTCTTAAGATGTTCTAACTGTTCTTGAAGTGTTCCAATTTGTAAAGTCCTATGCCCCACGATTTTATACAGATTCCAAAATAGGTGGAGACCTTGTATCCAATCAAACCCCTGTCCATCCCTCGTGGGCCAGTCCTCAGATATTCGAAATCCCACCCCCTGGGGGTGGTAGAGGGGCGGGTGTCCGCGGTCCCAAGGGGCAGGTTTGGTCCCAAAGGACGGTGCTTAACGGGTTTATAATACGGCAATTTTCTTTGTACCGTGAGGTACTTGCCAAATAGCTAATTAAGTAATTTAAAATAACATTAACTAAATGAGGGGTATGCTAATAACTGTTGGAATTCCCAGTAGTGTGTCTTTCCTTTATTTACAATCATCGTGAGGACGCCGGTTAGTTTAAAGTTCCTGTAATTAAGGAATACAGTGCAAAAGGGGTTCTCCCATCCGTATGGCCACTTTTAATTACCTGTCCGTATTCTCGTGACGCGTGTCTAAGACGGTGCACGGGTTTGCCAAGGTCTCTGTGCGTGTTTATTCGTGGTCCGTTATCGATGTATGTATCTGAATGCAGTGTGTTCAGAGCCGCAATATTCTGTAAGCGCTCCTCCAGACTACGATTACAACCGTATGCTCGGTACCTCACGAATAGTCGATATAACAATGACGACGATAATACTCGATCGTGCGTGACCGAAATGCAACGTTCGTTGCGGCCGGCGATAATACTAGTAGCTGAATTCACGTGCGCCGACTAAATTTCAACGGCAACCAAAGCCCTGCGTGTAAAATAAAATTAACATTTACAAATATCCCCCGTCCTTTTACAAAGTTCATTGTCTATTTCTATTTAATACACGGAATTCGAAATAACGTAGCGATGCAAGGTACTAAGTCGAAGTCTTTCGTTCATAGAAACAGAAGTATGTATAAAAAATATAGTCACAAATTTCACTACAACCCCTTTAACCCCCAATTGGGACACTACGTGCAATCATATTCAACCCAATTTTTTTATTTAATGGTATTAAATAATCTGAATCGTACTCTTCTTAAAAAGGTTGCAATTCCACTATAATTACAACTTAACGAATTGATGTCCATCAAGAAATTAATAGAGACGAATAAGTTAATGTTTTTTGACGTTGAAACTTTATTAACTTATAACCATTATTTTTATTATCATTACTATTACTGTTACTATTATGCAGCCCAGAACGTCCTCGATAACCGACAAGCTTGACAAAAGCTCTTACAAATTTTTTAAATTTACGAATAATCTACTTAAAAACGTTAAAAATTTGCTGTACAATTTTGAAACAAAGAATGAGGAAACATTAAACATCAAATTTCAGATTCAACAGTTTTTGCCTAAAAAAAAGACTGAAAAGTGCACAGTGCACAATTGCACTGGTTTCGACCATAATATGAATAACGAAAAATATACTGTTCATAAAAAAATAAACAAAAGGGGAATGTTGAATTGATTAGTGTTCACCGAAAAATTTAGGCACCTACCCTCTGCCGGTTTTTCTTAAAAATTCGTTTTTTATTTTTAGTATTGACACCCTACAAAAAAGTTGTCTAATACTTTTTTGTAAGCACCCATGAGCTCTACTTCAGAAAAAGTTTCATTAAAATATATTCGCTATTGTAGGAATTATGGCTGTTTGAAAATTGGACAATTTTTATGGGGTGTTTCTCAATTTACGGTGTTAAGGAACAACTTTTAGAATATTTTTGGAATTTTTGCATATTCTTCACTAAAATACGCGTTGTTTGCTTTTTGAAACATCAAAATCGTCCAATCCGTTCAGGAGTTATGACATTTTAAAGATTCGCAAGAAATTTCAGGGAAAACTGTCATATATGGTCAGACATTAGATTTTCGGTAAGGAATTTTTTTCTAAAAAATGCGTAGGATTTTGAGGGTATGTCTATCGACCAAAAGTGACTATAATTGATCCCTGCAACCAAAAATAATTTCTTTTGGAAGGATTTGAAAAATGTTTTTTTCACCGAAAAATTTCAGCACATACTCCAATTTTTTTCTCGAAAGTGCTTAGGATTTCGGGGGTATGTGTATTCACTAAAAATGATTGCAAATGACCCCTGTAATCAAAAATAATTTTTTCAAAATGATTTTATCCCGAAAAATTACTATACCTACCCCCTGTCGATTTGTGTTACAAATTCGTTCTCGATTTTTAATAAACGCAACCATACAGCTGTGACTTCTTTGTTTGTGTAAAATATAATCCGTAACATTTACCGAAGAACAGTCAGAATAAATATGCTGGGCATTCCAGACTGTTCTTATAATCTGTCAAATTATACTTGCATTACCTCGAATAAATTTTAAACTATCAAACCAATTCTAAACTAACACTCGAGCTTGGATAATAAAAACATAACCTTCAGAATAACTGTTCTTTACTTGTACTTACGCTAAACCCATCCTCATCTTTCAATCACAATAACATAACTAACACCCTCTCTCTTCTCTTCTTTCCAGATTCGGTGACGCTCACCAACTAACACCCACGCTTCGTAACAACTGCCTACTAACCGACTTCGAAATGACTTCCGCGTTACTTTAACAGCCACCGTCGACGGTCGAAACGAACGAGCGGTCGTCGCGGTCGTTCGTCGCTCGGTACCGACGATGCGAATTCCTGAAGATGCGCAGGACGAGCAGCAACGGTTTGAAGCTCGACCTAACAGAGAACACCCCAGGTAGCTCGTTGTCGCGGCTGCCGAATTTAGTCGAGCATGCGGAGAGCTGTCAAGCACTGTCCGCCGGAACCGGTGAGAATTTAAGCAGCAAACTGCCAAACGTGGTCGAGGGCTCCATGGACTATGGTAGCGAGCGCAGATCCTCCCGGTACCTCGAGTACCAAGACTCCAAGCCTTATCAGGATCCCCAGTCGGCTTCGGGGCTGCCCCCGTACGAGCAGGGTTACCACCACGATCAGTCGAGGGGCTACAGAGGCTACGACCGTAACCCGTACGATAGGGAGGATATCGACCGATACGATAACAGAATTTATCCCGAGGATAGCCTGAGGTACGATCGTCGGGGGGATCAGAAAACGTATCAGGAATCGGACCTGGACGCGCCCTACGAGAGGAGCGATGCTCAGAAGCTTAGCAGGACTTATCCCGCGGAGCTCCCGGAGTCCGGCAGGAGATACTCGAGAGATTTGACAGATTACGAGTACGCGTCGAGATACGCGGAGGAGACGTTGAAACTCGAGCCGAAGAAGGATCATCACCATCATCACTCGGGGAAGGTGTACGAGCCGGCGCCCTCCAAGGGCTACGAGTCCGGCGTGAAGACGCACGATTCCGCCTACGAGCTGTCCTGCTCCGCGCAGCAGGACCTCGCCGCGCGAAAGTACGAGACCAAGTATCATTCCGCGAACAAGATGTACGGGACGTTGCCCAGGTACGAGGCGAGCAAGTCCTACGAGCCCAGATCGTACGAGTACGAGGAACAGACGTACGAGACCACCGGGAAACCGTACGACTCCAAGTACGAGCTGACCAGCTCGAAGAGCTACGAGCGCACCAAGTACGACTGCTCGTCGTCCTCCAGGTACCAGGACAAGTCGTACGACCAGACGCTGAAGATCGGCGAGCTGGGGTCCTCGTCGTCGGCCGCTTACGTCAGAAAGACGCAGGACCAGGATGAGACCAACGCCGAGAAAATGAACGGATACAGGAAGAACAATTTCGAAACGTACGGTGTGTACTCCGACCCCGAGGACGATCACGGCTTCCCCGCCGAGAAAAAGACGCCGCAGTATCCGTACAAGGGTGTCGTCGTGAACGTCAGCGGGGAGTCGAGCGTCATAGATCAGAAACGCGCCAAGGATGGCAGACAAACCGAGATGCCGGGAAGCCCTTGGTGCAGGCCTACTATACTGTTGTTGTTCCTGGTCCTGCTTGTCGTCGTCTTCGTTTTCGTCGCTGGGATTCTTCTCTACCTAAACTGTGAGTCTCTTGCTTTTCTCTGTATATTCAATTGTTTATATGTCGTACTGTATTGCATGGATTCTAGTGTCTTCTTTTTTAATCGATACGCCAAAGATTTAAGAATAACAATGTGCAGGTTAAATTGTCGGGTGTGTTTGTACGGTAACGATACTTATCAAAAAGTAAAAGATCATATCTTTTTATTGATAAGAGATAAATGCGTTTTACCACACGAAAGTGATGAGGTCATGAATTGTATTTCATGAAAAGAAATATGGTGAAACTATAATCACTTTGTAGAATGGAAGTAGATGGAATTTTACGTTAACGTCATGACCGTTTTGACATGCAAAAATGTCCAAGTAATCGCTTGTGTCGTTTAATAGAATATCTTTGAAGTATGAACAAAATTTGTAAAAAATAATTAAAACTGACAAATAAAAATGGCGACAACGATTATCGTACGCATACTCAATAACTCTTTTACACTTTTACTACCAGGCAAGTTTAGGCATTTTTCGTGTGGACCAAACAATTTTTGATTCTTAATTCGTTATGAAATTATTTTTGTTGAGTTATATATATTACTTTTTATCGTTTTAATCTTATGTAATTATATTTAAAATAGGATAGGTGATATGTATCTGATATAGGAGGCGCCAAAGTATCGGTGGTACAATCGAGGAGGGGGTGATTCTACATGAAAAACAATTCGATTTATCGGATATACGTGTGATTGAATACGATTTGCCTGGCGTGTATATCCAATATTCACTCTTTCTATTTGTATTGATGTCCAAGCTATACTCCATCGAAGTTTCAAAATCTATTTTCTCGAAAACAAAGCCTCAATTGAAAAAATTTTATTCTTTCGAATTGTTTTTTTATGTAAAATCACTCCCTTCTCGGTTGTACTACAGATGCTGTCACACTGTAAATAATATAGACGCGAACCTCGTTGAAACAGTTCTAGAAACTGGTGAGGATGATTTTATCCACGAATTGAAACAAAAGCATGACTCACTAACCATAGAAGATTTTTCTTTTTTTTAATTACAGTGTTTGGCCATATTTCCATATCAGTTAATTAATTGTGCTTGCTCAGATATTCTATTGCTTTACTTATTACTAAAAACAAATAATATAACTCACGTACTAATTACATTATCAATTTATTTATCCACATATCAAAAGATGAATTGTTATTTATAGATGCTCAAATAATTTTAGATACATTTGAGGATGACTGTTCTACTTGAGAATGTTTACATACAAAATATTTTTTAATGTCAATGAATGATAAATTTTGAAATATCGGGAAGCACAAAAATAGAAATTGAAAAAGAGCTTAAAATCTTTTCATTTCTTTTTTACTTCAGTTTTTTTGCTCAATCTATAAAAGTTTTACTTCGCAATGTTACATAGTTTTTCGTAGTAAAAATTTCTAAAAAAAACGCCTTAAAAATCAACTCGTAACACGGGAATGTTCCTCCTAATACCGTGTCTTACGCCTGGCGAGGAGGACAGATCGCTAGGACGCGATGATTATTCAAACTTAACGCCTCCTTCGCGCCTTTACGTTTATCCCGGGACCGATAAAACCCCGTTTAAAGTTATAAGTCACGTTCCACGGTGAACGAACGGTCGTAGTTAACGGGGCTTTGTCGGAGGAGATACGAAATTAGCGAAGTTTCAGCGGCTACAAAGACTCCTCTCGTTCTTCGACTAAATAGTACGTCTCGTTCGACGGCCGAAGTACGTTTTCTCGTTTTCTAGTAATTCTCTTCCTCGCCCGTGTCCTTCGAACGATATCCGGAGGGGCATTTCGTTAATGAGCATCCGATACCAATTATTTACGGCTGTCCATGTGACCGCCATAATAATGGCCGAGGACGGGAACGACGTCGACGTCGACGTCGCCTCGTAGACACGTGCTGACGATACGTTAAGCCGGAACGGTTACTGTCTCCGCGGCAGTTTTATGTGTCGAATTTGACATGCCCGGCACGTAGAGACTTGCCACTAGCGAGACTGTTCGGTCGGAATTACAATGCGAGGAGTAAATGGAAGAATAGGGTTTAAAGAATAGAAGTGGACAAAAGTGACGTTTACTTTGGCCATTTGTTTTGTTCCGACGCGAACATCACGGACGCGTAGAGTACGGTGAGCTCTCTTTCCAACGGGTATTAAATTTTCTTTGAAACGACGATGCGGTTGTCTGGTCTTTTTCGAGAGTTTCGGCGGGTTTGTCGGGAAGGTGCGTCGTTTACGGCCAAATATTATTTTTTCAGCCACACGAAACTGTTTAGAAATCTTGGACGATTAATGTCCTGTTTGTGAACTAATCGTTGATAACAGAGAGAATATATTACTGAGATTATACAGTATTCACGGTTATGTCTTGACAACTCTTCGAGAGCTAGTAGTTACACTGTTGATTCTTTGCGAATGATCGCTTCTAGATGTTCGAACGTCTTTTGAAAGGTTCAGCTAACTTTCAGTGCCAGTCAATCGAATTTTTTAGAATTATAGTGTGTGATAATAATGTAATTTTTTAAGAGAAAGTATATATTGTATGTTTGAATTTTGACCATCGACAAGGGCCATTTTGCAAGCGTAGACATCGATTGTAAAGAAACTCCACATACAGGTAGAGTACCTAAATATATTCGATACATACAGGGTGTTCGGCCAACCCTGGTAAAAATTGTAATGGGAGATTCTAGAGACTAAAATAGGACGAAAATCAAGGATACTAATTTGTTGATTGAGGCTTCGTTAAAAAGTTATAGGAACATTTTCGGACACACAGTATATTTTCGGTAAAGAATTTTTTTTCTCGAAAATGCGTAGGATTTCGGGGTCATGTCTATTCCCCAAAAACGATTGTAATTGACCCCTGCAATTGAAAATAATTTTTCTAGAATGATTATAAACTTTTCAATTTTCAGAGTAACTGACAGTTATGGTCAGACATTAAATTTTCAGTAATGAATTTTTTTCTCAAAAATGCGTAGGATTTCGGGGGTATGACTACTCACCAAAAAGTAGTGTAATTGACCCTTCTAGCTAAAAATAATTTTTTCAGAATAATTTAAACAAATTCTTTTAAACCGAGAAATATCAGCAGCAGATTTTCCTTAAGAATTCGTTTTTGATTTTTTGTAACTTTATTTGACGCCCTACAGAAAAGTTGTCTAATATTTTCTTGTAGTTACCTATGCCGTCTACTTCAGAAAAAAGTTTCATTGAAATATATTCACTATTGTAAGAGATATGATCGTTCGAAAATTGGACCATTTTTATGGGGTTTTTCTCAATTCAAGGTGTTAAAGAACAATTTTTCGAATATTTTTGGATTTTCTGCATATTCTTCATTAAAATACGCATTGTTTGTTTTTTGAAACATTAAAATCGTCCAATCCGTTCAGGAGTTATGATGTTTCAAAGATTCGCATGAAATTTCAGGGAAAAATGTCATATACGGTCAGACATTAGATTTTTGGTAAGGAATTTTTTTCTCAAATGTGCGTCGGTTTTCGGGGGTATGTCTATTGACCAAAAATGATTATAATTGGCCACTGTAATCGGAAATAATGATTTTATAGATAATTTTCCAGAATGATTTGAAACTTTTCAATTTTCAGGGTAACAGACAATTATGGTTAGACATTATATTTTCAGTAATGAATTTTTTTCTCAAGAATGCGTAGGATTTCGAGAGTATATCTATTTGCCAAAAACGATTGTAATTGACCCCTGGTATCAAAAATAATGTTTTCAGAATGATTTGAAATTTTTTAATAACTTTTTAACGAAGCCTCAATCAAGAAATTGTTATTTTTTCGTCTTATTATGGTCTCTAGAATCTCTCAATTAAATTTTTCCCAGGAGTGGCCAACACCCTGTATATATATTCCAACTTTTTAACTAGAGGTAAAGAATAATAATAAAGAGGAAACTTGTACTTGTAAAATCACATTTCAAAACAATATTTTTTATATTACATAATAATTTTCTGTCTTGAATGCATCATCAGTATGCATAAAGTAACGAAACCTACATACGTACAATTTTTCCAATTTTGGGAATTGATTAAATGTAAAAATGTCGATTTCTGTTGGGCACGTGTTGTACCATTTCTGAACTTTGAAAAGTGAGTTTACAAAACAATAAGCTATTTTCGTTAACATCCACTGTTTCATTACTCTTCAGATGATAGAAGACCCATCTCTTTAAAAGCTTCAAGGAAATTAAGGCACTGCAATTTACGGAACAGTAGGTGTTCTTTTTACTGTACATTTAATAGCGTTAGAAGAACAATATTTGCTTCCATTATACTGCGACGGAAAAAATTTAATGAAGGAACTGTTATATTCTAGCTAAAGCAACAGCTACTTTTTTCTCAAACGTATTTAAGATGTCGAAAGATGGAGAAGTTTGACATTGTTTGTCTGACCTGCCTAATTTCTGTTACATTATCATTGTTTAAATTAAAGCAAATTTTTTTATACATTTAATATAATCATCCAATAATTTGTATATTATTTCGTGAACCCATTTTTTAAACATTTCTCGATAAATTTTCGAAATTGAACATCATGTATATAAGCATTTCTAAAAAAGAAAAATATACTATAAAAGAAATATTTTGTAGAAGTTTTGATTATATTATGGTATTCTTCGTTAAAAGCATTACAACTGTTCTCTATATTATTTTTTCTAGCTTTAGTCGTTTCCAACTCTAAAAGGTTGAAGAGTAGTTTCGTTCGCTTATGATGAATTTCTGTCTCTAAAAAAAATATGTGCCGTATATTTTTAACTACCCTGCTCGTATGCGAAATTTATTAAAATCTGCGTTTGGGTTGTACCCTCTGTGAGCGTAGACATTAAATATTCAACGTTAAAGTTGCACGAAAGGAATAAAGTAATTAAAAATTCCTTTTTCGTCAATAAGAACATTTACTGCAAACGTAAATTTATTCGTCAGCGTTCCATGACGTAACAATTGTAACAAT